GTGCGATTTTGTCTACCTTGACAATCATGATAAGAAAGGGTGGAATGGCATTGAAACCTTTTCTTCCTCAGCTTCAAACAACATTTGTAAAGTGTCTACAGGATAGCACAAGGTTGGTTTATAGTACAATCTTTTAGTAATGTTTTGCTCATGTATGCTTTTTGGTTCACGGGTCCTCGATTTGTAGTTATTTTGTCCTTTCAATGGTGCTTGTATTAGTAGTGATATCTCAGCTAATGTCCCTGGTGTGAAAATAGCTATAATCATAATGATTTCAATTCAACCGCTTGTGTTTTAAATTTTCATATAATTCCACAGTTGGGGCACTAGTAGTTCAGCTTGTTTCCTCCATATATTCTGCTCATTAGATACTTTTCAAGTGCAGAATCGTTCGTTCAAGTGCTGCCCTTGCACTCGGAAAGCTTAGTGCTCTCAGTACCCGGGTTGACCCTTTAGTTGGAGACCTCCTTTCCAGTTTGCAGGTAATTGTAAGTTAGGATCTTCTTCGTGCACTTAAATTTAATTGTTAGTTAGGATCTTTCATGCACTTAAATTTCAAAACTCGATTGAACATATCTCTCTTTTCACTGTCAGGCTCCGGATAGTGGGGTTCGGGAGGCATGTTTGTCTGCTCTCGAAGGTGTCGTAAAGCATGCTGGAAAAAGTGTGAGCAGTGCTGTTAGAACTCGTCTCTACTCGCACCTTAAGGACTTGATTCATCATGATGATGACCAGGTTCGGATATCTGCTGCAAGCATTTTGGGCATCACATCCCAGGTATGTCATGGATAATTCTGGATTAGCAATTACGGATTCTAGAAGTATTTTTCACTTAATCATGAAGTTCAAGATCCTGGATCTGCTCTTTTTTTTAAATGGTTTTCTTTATTGTTAACCTAACTATTCTCTAATAATTTTCAGTACCTAGAAGATGATCAACTGACGGAGCTGCTTCAGGAACTCTCTGATTTGCCATCATCTCTTAGCTTGTCTGCCAGGCATGGCTCCGTACTCACAATATCATCCATGCTCAGGCACAACCCTTCCACTATTTGTTTGTCTCCAGAGTTTCCGTCTATCTTGGGCCGGCTTAAAGACGCCTTGACTGATGAGAAGGTATTTAATCCTCATAGTTGCATTTTAATTTATTTATTTTTTATTATTAATTTATGCTTTGCAAAGTGGTGACATTCTTTTCTAAACAGTTCCCCCTGCGTGAAACATCGACCAAGGCATTTGGGAGACTTCTGATTCACAAGCTCCGAAGTGATCCTTCTAATAAATCACTCCATTTGGAAATAATATCGTCCTTAGTGTCAGCTTTGCGCGATGATTCTAGTGAAGTTAGAAGAAAGGCATTATCTGCTATAAAACGAGGTTCCAAGGTATGTGCTTTGTGCTTTTGGAATTGCATTAAGGAACCGTACATATAATTAAGGACTTTATGCACGGCAATCTGTATTACAGGAAAATGCTTCAGTTATTTTGGCTCATATCAATATTATTGGACCGGCTCTTGCTGAATGCTTGAAAGATGGAAGTACTCCCGTGAGACTTGCAGCTGAAAGATGTGCTCTGCATGCTTTCCAATTGTCAAAGGGTACTTTTTTTCTTCTCCACTGTTTTACTGCTATTGTTACAGTGTTTCTGCAAGAAGATTTCAGCTGTAAGAGCGTTTCGGTTTCACATTTTCCAGGTCCTGAAAATATTCAAGCTGCACAAAAATTCATCACAGGCTTGGATGCCAGAAGAATGTCGAAGCTTCCTGAAAATAGGTATATATAGATACAAAAGAAAATAATATACGGTGATGGATTTTACCAGTGCTTGATATATAACAAAAGACATGTTAGTTTACCATGATCGTTTCCCTGCTCTGGTTTTGGTCACTGGTTTGAAATGCTTGTTACGTCTTGGAATTGCAGCGATGATAGTGAAGATGGTGAGGACGCGGCAAGTGGCTGAAAAATCGTTTCTTTCCAAGGCCGATGTTTTGTTTTCCTAAGAGTAGAGAGGTATAGAAAATCCATATGTTTGGGATGCCTGCAGAAGTTTTCATGGCACCTTTCGATCACAGAACCGCGGATGTACTGAGATATCACAACCATAGAGGCCAATTTACCCAATTTTCGTTTGCTGGGTTGTTTCAAGTTCAAAGTAAGTGTTAATTGGATACAATCAAGGATCTTGTATACAACGAGAGCGATGCGCTTCGGCTTGCCCTTATTTTGTAAGCTACATTTTGTAAGTTCATACGTGATCTCTCAACAAATTTTATGCCACTCGTTTTTCATTACCTCATCAACTTCAGCCACTGGAATCGCTCAATTGACCATGGCAAATGTTGGCGAGCATGGTTTTATTCTTTTTTCTCCCCTTGATCGGAGAGGTCGCACTTGGTGCGATGGCAAGTGCCTTCGCTCATGAGCGGTAGGTCTCGGGTTCGAGACTTGGGAGCAGCCTCTCCATAAATGGGGGTAAGGCTAGCCGACATTCACCTCTCCCAGACCCTGCGTAAAGCGGGAGCCTTGTGCACTGGGTACGACCTTTTATTTCTCGCTATGTCGTCGCTATAGGCCCCTTGGTGGAGTTTAGGGTGAGAACTATACTTAGTCGCAGTTGATCTCTCCGTCTAATTATATCCTCCCTCGAATTTATTAATTTGTCGCTAAAAGTAGTCCCGCTGTAGGATATGACAAACAAATTGCAAAATCTGAAAATTCTGTGAGAAAATGTTGAGTCAAAGGGGAATAAAACCTTGGAATTATGATGTTTGCTCTCTAAACCAATGGCATGTACGAAGTGACATTTTGCTTGAAGACATAATTTAGTTCTAGCATCTTGTAGGCTAGGGTTTGGTGATGGACGGTCACAAGGGATTCAAGCCAAGTGAGACGACATACATTGCAAAATGATAGAAATAAAAGATTAGAAATGCACTTCATGACCGTTATATAGGTTATAAAGGTAATCAGCATAATTAAACATGTAGAACGTCTAAAAGCAAATTAGTATTGCAGCAAGGCTCATAAAATGGCATTTGTCCATGCTATATATGTCGTCGAACCAAACTAGTAATGAAAAGCAGGCTCATTTTAAGAAAAGAAAACTAGAAACTACTCACTCAATTACACACACACACACACACACACACATATATATATATATATATATATATATATATATATATATATGGGGACAAATCATTGACATCACATTTTTTACTTTGTTAGGCATCGGAGATATACTTTTTTACATTATGAGCTAAGGACTCTTCATTATATATTTTCACAATTTGGTCCACAGATCGAGTATGGAACTAAGTAATCTACTATTAGCAGAAAACAATCACAGTTAAACCAAACCGTCATCTAAAAATCGAGCAATTGCATTTTTCAACTTTCAAAATGTGCTTCTTACAAAAATATATGAATTACCTATCTGGATCTAATACTATGATTGTCACCTCCCAATAGCCATGAAATCCATATGTGATAGACACGCATAAACAAGTTAGTGTTTCAAAATGTTACTGGGCTAGAAAACGCATTTATTTCAGACACATATTGTTATGAGGACTATATTATTCTAAACCCACCAAATTGAGTGCTAATCTAAACCCTAATTTGAAAACAATAAGTGGTATCTATTTGGGGTGTGCGGCAAGATATGAACATCATGATCAAGATGGGGAAGAAATTAGAAAAAAACGAAAAACTTGGTAAAAAGATAGTAGGGGAGGATGAATGAAGAAAAAAAGAGTCAAAGGACAAGTGAGCAAATTAATGAAAAACAATTAATGAGATAGGTGAGAGTAGAAAATCTCAATTAAAAGGATTTTAGAATTTTATTTTCAATAAAAATTATTTGAATAAAGAAAATTAATTGGACTAAATAGATTGCATCTCAACTATTAAAAATAGACTCATTTAGTGGTTTAAAACTTGTGTCAAATCTTGTGTTTTTTTTTTAATTGTGCTACGGATTCGCCTCCTTTATTAGTTGCCATTGCCCCCAATTGTAACATATATTGGTAACTAAAGACCATTGCTACCGCACAATGTATTTCCTGTGGTGACAGAAGAGAACAAAATCAACAGTATAAAAATTCAACACAACGGCTCCATGTATCACAATTTACTTATTTAAGTAATGCCAGCATATGATTTCTCATTTGGGTTATTCACATGCAACACTGGCAAAAACTATGATTTAAAAAAGGGTCATTTTGGTTTCGGTCCCTTATTAACCTAATTGTTAGATTAAAATCTTGTTTGTTTAAATATTTTGATCGAGGTCTTTAGCATCATTTAAAATATTAAACTCATGTATTTATGCATTTAATGTCCCTCAAATTATGAAATTTAACCAAATTCAAATAATATTTTTAAAATATAGTAAATACTTAAAAATCAATAATAGAATAATATTGTTCTTCACAAAATTATAGCAAAAAATTAATGTACCCACATAATTATTAACATATTTAAAAAAAAAACTACTGATATATTTTAAAACATAAAATAAATACATATAATTAGCATGGGTACATTTAGCAAAATTAAAAATGGGTACAAATAAATTTTAAAAATATTTGTACAAATACAAATAAAAGTTTACAATATATGGGCAAAAAAAAGAATTTAATATATGGGTACAAATTAAAGCTGAAAATAAAATTGGTACAAATTAAAAAAAAAAGGGTTGCAAATTAAAAATGGGTACGAACTAAAAATAAAAATATATGATAAAAAATTTAGCCATAAATATAAATATATTAAATGTAACGTTTCTAACACTAAATGAATGTATTTAGAAATAAAAAATATTTTATTATTGAAATAATTAATAGCGTTTATTAAAACCTAAGGACCTTAATAAAAAATTGAAAAAGAATAAAGTTTTAATCAATGGAGTAGCAAAAAGAGGGATGGAAACCTAATTTTTCCTTTTTTTAATCACTTTATATACTTTGAAGAATTAATATCGTCTAATCTTGTATTTTATCTATTTTTAAAGTACAGGTTGATTTATATAATGCGACTTGGTGCTACAATTTTCTGTGTTCTGGATTTATCCAAACAAACAGCAAGATAGCCATTGGAGCTTCCATTTCCCCAGTCTCATCCTATGCCGGCAACCAATACGACGTCTCCATTCTCCTATGGAAGGTAATCGACATCATGCAATATTAACATACAAATTAATTAAGATGGAGGAACATATTTGTTAATAAAGGCATATATTTTATTTATAGGATCCAAAGCTAGAGAATTGGTGGTTGGGATTGGGAGACAATACCCTAGTTGGGTACTGGCCAGCAGAGCTGTTCACACACTTGGCGGACAAGGCAACCATGGTGGAATGGGGCGGAGAGTTGGTGAACACGAGGGCCAACGGCGAGCACACGGCCACTCAAATGGGTTCGGGTCACTTTGCCGAAGACGGGTTTGGGAAGGCCAGCTATTTCAGAAACCTTGAGATAGTGGACTCGGAAAACAACCTCAACTCGGTCGGGGATGTGTCAACTTCGGCTGAATACACCAAGTGTTACGACATCAAGAGCTCCTACAACAATGAATGGGGCACTCACTTCTACTATGGTGGCCCTGGGAGAAATGCAGGATGCCCATGATCACATCATCATCAGTATTGTTAGTCTATTACTCTCGGACAAAGTGACAGTTATATTTAAATGTAGTATGTGTGAAATAAAAGGACCAGTGGTAAGAATTTTAGTTGAGTCTCCTTAACTATGCTTAATGTAAATTCAACAATCTATTCAATGAAAGCTTTCCACCTTCTACATCATGTCTTTCTCTTCCTACAGTCTGTAAGATCGGCTCAAAATTTTGCGCATAATCGGGATTGTCACTTTGTCAGAATTGTTTGACGAATTGGAGTAATTGCTTGCTATGATTCTTTCAATATTGCGTAGAACAATTAGTAAATCTTTTTCTGGGTTCTTCAAGTTGTTTCTCACATCTGTGTTCAAGTTAATTACTTGGCAGTCAAGTTAATTACTTGCTTTTTTGGCCTTCTCTCTTTGCTTTAGTTAGTAATTAATATTGCATTGTCAGACAAAATTAAATTGACTCCAAAACATTCACTCATACATGCAGTATGACAACAAAAAATTCCCACACGTTTTTGGAAAACTACTTCCAGTGACACCCACCATCTGCTTCTTCAAAAACGATGAAGATTTTTAGCAATAAAAAAAAAAAAATTCAGGTGAAATAAGGGATGCGAAGCCTTATTTGATTACCCATGTCTGGTAGTAATTCCAATTGTCCTTGTAGGTTTAGGAAATAGATCCACGACCAAAAAGCCGTTGGAGTTTGGAGCCACTAGACAACATGTCAGTATCAAGTTTAGAAACGTAACACTTGCGAAAACTGAGACTGCTGTTTCTGTTTTGTAGATCCTTTTAACTTTTAACTGATGAATGAGTTTTTTGTTCATATATTTTTGGAAGATTAGATGGTTATATGGAATATAATTATTCGGGTTTTTATCACAAATGATCTTTGAAATTGACCTAACTCATCAAGATGGTCTTTAATTAAAAATCGATCAATGTAGTCTCTGAAATTGAATGTTGTAAATCAATGTGATCCTTCTATCACAATTCCGTAAAAAATTATGTTGAGTGCTGATGTGTAAAGTAATTAGGTTCCACAAGTCTAATTAAATATTATTATATAAATTTAAAATATTTAAATAATAAAAAATACTTTTTATTTCTATATAATTATAAACTTATAAAAACAAAAGAAGATTACCGTTTATCTTCTTCCCCACCCCATCCGAGCAACACCCAGCCCCCACCCTATCTTTTGCCTATCGGAGGACCGGGAAAGGCGTTGACACCCTTGGAACAAGGGGAGTCGCTGTTTAGACTTGTGGGAAGGGAACCCAAGTTCTTGAAGGTGCCCATTGAAATTATGGACTTTGCACGCTGTAAGGGTACTTCCTTCAATGGAAGATACTGCTGAGTTCGGGAAGATTGGAAGGTATTATGCAGCTGAGAGTATGTTGGTTTTGGATCCTGAGACCGGAGAATACAATGCTGAGAAAACGCCGAGTTGTGGTAAAGACACATAGGAAGAATTCTTTGAGACTGTGATGAGGGAGGGGATGGCCGGTCAGGAATTTGTGGCCGGTCAGGAGTTATGGCAAACGATTTTTTAAGAATTTGTGGCGTGATTAGAAAGTTTGTACATTCAGTTTCTCAGTTGGTTCAACAAGTTTTGTACAATAGTCTGCTTTCAGGTATGCAGTTGCTCGGATGGTGGGGTGGGGGCTGCGTGTTGCCCGGAGTCGGATGGGGTGGGGAAGAAGATAAATAGTAATCTTCTTTTTGTTTTTTTGTAAGTTTATAATTATATAGAAATAAAAAATATTTTTTATTTATATAATAATATTTAATTAAACTTATGGGATCCAATACAGTTAACAGAATTTTTTACGGAATTGTGAAGGAAGGACCACATTGATTTGCGGCATTCAATTTCAAGGACTACATTGATCGATTTTTAATTTCAGGGATCATCTTGATAGAATGGGTCAATTTTATGGACCATTTGTGATAAAAATCCTAATTATTCTTATGTATTTTTTCTTCTGTATGTAAACGAATGTTTTTCTGCAACAGCTAGTTTACGTCACTTCCTAACCATTTGGTTTAATTGGTATAAGAAACGAATCTTGAAATTTAAGCTATCTAGCAACAATTAATAAGGGTGCACTCATTTCAAATTGTGATTCTACACCGAAAAGACAATATATATCTATGGAATTAATTCCCTAATTAGTTAACTCCAGAGATATAAATACAAAGGTTTTAGGACCCCTCGGACGGTGGACCATGGTCGTAATGTTTGGCAGCATTGTTCTTCCCAAATATCATCTCGGAATTCAATTGCATACATGATTTGCTGGTGATTTCCTTTGAAAAATTAGATTCGTACATTTGTGTTTAGACTTCGTTTGGATCTAAAATTCCTGTGAACTCGTACTTAGCTGTTTTAATTTCAATCAAGGTGAAATAAGAATAGAAAAGCTCTGGTTTAGTATATCATAATTCTGGTAGGTTTAGGAATACCTAATCCTTTTAGTTGTTCACTAACGAAAGGGTTTTGCCTATATATCCAAGAACGCCTCTCAAATTTTTTTTTTAATCCAAGTAACATTATTCAGTACTCCTCCTTTGAGTTCTTTGTTTCAAAAACTAATTAATTAAGAACTCGTGTTTTCTTGAGTTCCAAGGAACTGAAGAACAAGACGAAGATGGCGATGAGTCGTGAAGATCGGGAAAAGATTCACCAGGGTAGTTTTGAGTCTTTTAACAGAATTTTGGAAGAGATTAAACAAGTGGCAAAAGACCGAAATGAAGAAATTGATTTGCTGACAAAGAGAGTTTTGATGGATATTATTCAGTTTGAAACCAAATCAAAGAAAGGAATATTGACCAATAATGATGAAGAAAAAGTTGCTTCTACTTCTACTTCTGCTGACGTTCATGACATTCAGAAAAGGAAAAATCATGGTTTCGGGAGCAGCAAAGATCAAGTTGGATATATTAAAGAGTTAATGAAGAAAAGGCAGAGAGAAACGACTGAAAGAGTGTGCATGCGTTCATCTTTATTGATTCCCTGTTTGCCGCTCGACTTGCCTATTGAATTCAAGAACATGATTCACTCTCTGTGTGGTTCTCACGTGAAATTGGTAATACAGAAGAAAATTTTCGCTACTGATTTGAACACTCATCACGACCGTCTCTCGATGCCAGAGAATCAAGTGGTTGATAAGAGATTTCTCAGTGAACAACACGACCAAGAATTGAAGCTTCATGGATCACTGGTGGTGAAAGTAATTGATCATAATTTGAACATGCATGATAAATTAGGGTTCACCAAGTGGAAGTCCACAAGTAGCTTTTCATATGTGTTAAACAGTGGTTGGAAGAAGATTATAGATAGCCAGAAGAATAAGCTTTATGTAAAGGATACAATTCAGGTGTGGTCTTTTCGAGTTAAGATCGACAAGAAGAATCCTATCTATCGCGAACGTCTCTGCTTCGCAATTGTTAAGCTTAAAGGAGAGGGGAAAGAAGAGGATGATGGTGGTGCTGATAGCCAGGAAATTATTGAACCGTCGACAACCAGGAAGAGGCAGGAAGCTATTGAGTCAGAGTTTGGAGTCATGGAAGATGTCGGTAATCTCAAATTTAGGATCACAGTTGGCATCACCCGCAAAGATTAACAAGAGTGCTGTTTCTTTATGTATAAATTGAAAAACTGTTGGGGCTATATACTAACGTGTTTGTTTTGTCCTTCGACTGGGAAACGCTGCAGGCGTCAAGAAAGACCTGCTATTCCACTTGAATGTTATAGTTGTGGAGTGAGAGGTCTCCACCTGACTCGTGACTGCCCGGAGAAGTGCATCTTTGCCTAGGACGTCGTCGTCGTCAAGTCATCCAGGGTGGTTCCTTAATTTCCCTGTGTTTTCTTGATCTGAGTAGCTTCAGCTTCAGCACTAGCTAGTACTTGTCTGTTCATATGTCATGTGAGTCTGTCTTTGAATAAGCAACGTCGTTATTCATGGCTGGCGGATGGATAGATTACTTGTTTGTTGTTGTTTCTCCTCAACGTGTGATTAATTCTCTTTTTTTAGCAATTAATTAGTTAGCAACAGTGATAATATATATATATATATATATATATGTATGTATGTATGTATATATATCGAAGAACAATAGCTTAATTCGGCCAATTTCTCGGACAAACCGGTTCATGTTTCCTAAAACAATGTAAAAGTAAACAACAATCAGCATTAACACAAAAGAAGAGATCTCAATACTCTGAGTTAATCACATGATACAGTTGTTTTGTTAACAAAAATCTTCTTATGCCCTTCTTGAGATTGTACATCGATCAACTTTTGCATATACAGAGAGAGGTAAAGGCAGAACCGAGGGACAGAACACGAGGAAGCTCACTTCTCGTTTGGTGACTTTAATTGTCTTCCGAGTAAGAGAAGTCCGACAGTAGTAAAAGCAGACAATATCGCTGAGGAATAGCAGATGGTAAGCAGAGCGCCCCTCAAAGACTGCATTCAGAGATTTTCATATGTTAGTATGCAGCACTATGTTATAAGTTGTAACAAAAAACAACGGCTACAAGTATGGGCCGGATTATTTTTTAGCACCTTAGCCAGCATCAAAGCATTGTCATTTGCGTACTGCAATGAACTCTCCGGTATGTTTTGGATGCCCTGAGCTAGCTCCCACGAAAGAATCCTGCATTTGAAATTTCAACGGAAAGTATAGGAAATCTCGATTATACATCATAGTTACAACACAAAGTAGGAAAGAGAAGTTAAAGTTTGAAATAGGCAAGTATATTTACCCAAAAGCCAAGCTGATTACGGCCCCTATGGTGGCTTTATCTGATGTTAGCTCGAGCTGAAGTTCTCCAAACTGCAGTTGGCAACGACATTAATACACCATTGAATATAGAATAAATGCCTTCCCTGTTACTTGCAACAAGTGTCATTGTCTACCTTCAGCATCCTGCTTTCCGTCTTTGGTTCATCAGTGACTGTCGATGTTGAACTTTCAGACAGAAGCTTTCCGGTTGTAATCATTACTTTTGCAATCTATAAGGGTTGAAAAGAATCCAAAAATACAGCGAGCTTAGAGACGCATGAAACCTGGTTATGAATTCTGAAGATAATACGAAAGACAATTGCTCCATCAAAATCTTAAGTACTTTGATTTCCACATAGAAGAAAAGTGAAACTAATCTTTTCTGGCACGGCTAAATATACTATTTGAACACCCATATAAATATCATATAAAAGCTGGCCTAAAAGGAAAGCGTAACTCTTAGCCCGTAGCTCTTTCCCTAAAAAGTAGGAAACTTTAACGAAAAGCTCCCGGTACTGTTCATTTTAACGAAAAACCACATTTTTACACTAAAAAGTCAATTATGGTACTATTCACTTTACCCTACTATACTAAACAGTCGTATGTTGGCAGTGGGGTTAAATGCTAATTGTCATATGTTGAATGTTGACATATCTTGTCCGACACAGTAATACCCATGAGTTTGATTTGAAGCAAATAGTTCCAAATGCTATTAACAAACTTTATGGAACAATTTTGACCTTTTGAGTAAAGAAGCATGAGAACAATAGTAACGAAAACTCAATAAAACCAGTCTAAGCAAACAAATAAACACAAACTACTCGAACTATCTATCTATCTGTCTATCCATCTCTTGTTCTTTTGAAAGATTATTTAGTCCGCCACAGTATCTATCTCTTGTCCAAGTAATAAAACATACCTTTTGCAATTCACCTTGGCCATACTGTCCCATAGACTGAAATCTTCTTCCGGCAGAAACCAAACGCTTTCCAAATGCTATAATAACAGATGTAAGCTCTTGAATCAAACTCCTGAGAAGATATTTTAAGCATCAATTTCATATAACTCTGTTCTTGCCTGATTTGGCATTGCCTGTCATAGAGTCCTCCAACCCAGGGAGCTTGCTAGCTAAAGCATGGGAAGTTGATGTATCAGCTTGTTCCCATGCGCGAGAGAGATTTAACAATGTGTCTCCTAACTCTTGACCACACTGCAAAAAGAGTAAATTCAAAGACAGTAACTTAATTAGCCAGTAATTTTGATAGCTTACCTATAAACTTTGAACTGTTTGGCGGAATACATGAGAGGCATGACATGGATAATGTGTGATTCTTTCACATCCCATTTCGTTATAATAAACATTTGAATCATTGAAGCATACACCATTCTTACCAAAAAGAGTTGAAACTTAGATGAAATTTCGGAAACGGAACACTAGTGATGTTCATACTACTACTCATCAAACTAAGAATGTAATCAAATTTCAAATCAGAATGCAGAAGCAGAGGCTTAAAAATAACTAACCTCGTCGACGATCTTTCCATTTGAAAGATCAAATGCAGCATCATTCAGCTTCACACATGCCCAAAACAGAATTTCAAAAACTCTGTCACCTCAAATTCTAAAGCCACATTCTTTATCGAATTCAACAACTGGGTAATTCACACAGATTGAAACAAGCCCACTTACATCGAGCCGGAGATCGTTAGGAAGCTGCGCAAAGTAGTCCGGTGGAAGATCAAAGCTGTCCTGCACAGCAAAAACAAAAATTGAAAAGGAAAAAAAATCGCACTTTAAATTACATATAAATTAAGCAACGCCAATAATTAAAGGTTCAAAATTTGATGTAAAGGATCGAATTCGAAATGGGAAATGGATGCTTACGGCTAATTCTTGGAGGAAAGATTGAAATTTTGGACCGTTGGGTTGGAAAGATTTGGGGGAGTCTGATTCTGCGAGGGAGAATGAGGCGGTGAGGGATTTGAATGGGAGGGTTTTGGGGAAATTGGAGGGTTTTAAGGAGGAGGAAGAAGAAGGGATATGGTGGGGATTACGGAGAAAGAGGAGGGTTGAAGAGGAAGAGACATTGGAGAGAGGTTGAAGGAAGGCAAGAGAAGAAGCCATTTTAGAGGAAGAGGTGTATCATGTATGCTGCTCAGTTTTAGCCACTGAAAATTTGGCAGTTATTTGGAAGTTGGGTTTTTCTCCTTTTCCTCCTCTTTTGGCGGGGACATAGCCTCATGATGATTTCAATAGTTTATTTTAGACCACATAATTTGACGGCTGATGATTGAATTTATATTTTAATGATTAACGAAAGTGTTCAACCATTAATCGTCACATTATATGGTTTACTAAAGATATATCTAGAAACTTGATCTTTTTAGCATCACTTGCTAAAAAAATATCACTAAGTTCGAATGTTATGAATATGATGAATATAATTTACGGTCAATATTTTTTTTTTTAGTGCTATAATATATGAACTCAATCACACATAAACTAGTATGCTAAAACACATCGTAATGTGCAATTGGACTGAAATACCACAATAAGGTTAAGCATTTGAATTGATGAATTGAACCAGATCGAGTTGTGTGATATCAATTGATATATTGACTAATCGACCGAAACGAATGAACCAAACTGGTTATTTTATTCAGTTCATTTTTCGGGTTGGAGGTGAAGAAGAATAAAGTGATAAACATACAGCGACAACACATGTTGATGTAGGTAAGTTTCTTTCCAAATAAAGACCTTAGCCCAAACTGGAGTTGGGCTCTAGAAAACTCAACCCAAGGCCCAGACATAAATGGCCTATGTCTTCCCGAATAAAACTTAAGCCCGGGCCCAGGAGCTGTTGTGAAGCAAACACGTGGTGAGGGGCTGATTGAAAGAGGGGGTTGCTGGAGAGAGAGAAGATCTGAAAGTTGTTTGGTAAGAAGAGCTTCTAAAATACTTTTCAACTTTCAATCGTTTATTTGATGAATTTCTGTTTTTATTTTTCTGTGGTTAATTTGTCATAGATACCTTGTCTTTCTCAGTTGGATATTCTCGGTTCTTATTTTCTTCCTATAATGTTATATAACGATTGAAATAGTTTACTTTCTAATTCACTTTATAAACATTAAATCTGCAAAAAATCAATCAAATTAAAAATTATTTATCCATTCAATTAACACTGTCAAAATTTACAGTTTCAGTTGAAACATAATTTGTTTATTTATTGAATAATTGTTAAATGACTAAAAGATTTCGAATTGGGTTGATTTTTTGCATATTTGATCCATAAAAAGTGACCTAAAAAGTATACAATTCAGATCATTCGGCAACATTAAAGAATGAAAAGGAGATTTGAAAACTTTCAAACGAGAAGGCTACTACCATTCATTATAGTTCTTTGGTCCAAATGCGCTTGTCAGTATTCATTGTCATCGTCAATTGTCAATTCTTCCGTTTTCCAATTGATTCTAGATTAGATGCCTACATACAAGACATAATGTTCAATTGTTGGGCCTAAAGACCACATGTGCTCCCACGTCACCCCATATGTATAGTTTATATGTGTCGCTGCACGTGAGAGAAAAGAGGGGGGGGTGTTACAGGGCGAGGAGGGTGGTTGTTGGGAGCGTAAATCCCAAATCGGGAGATTAAAGGGGTATATCAATTGGTATTTTGAAGGATTTTAAATAGTTTAATAAAAATCATTTAGTTGATGAATTTCTATTAAAGGTACTACAAAAGAGGTTATCACTGTCAAGGTAAAAACCGACAAGAAACCTCAATTACTGTCGGATTTTTGGTAAAAATCTGACATCAAATCATGTGATGTCGGATAGGGAAACCGACACCACTACTAGCGTCACGAAAAGGGTATTGACATTGGTTAGTCTCTTTAATCCGCCACCAAAAAGCAAAGTAATATAAAATAAAAAAGAACAACAGCATCAATTAAAAATGATATCAAACCTTACGTCGGTTAGAAGCAAGGTTAAATTCTGACATAATGGCGGTCCTAACCAACATCAAGTAACAATTAAACAATTAAAATATCAAACCTGCGGTGGGTGCTAACTTTCAGTGATTAAAAATCCATATCTAAAAGGTTCCTAGTTCCTACATCAGCCTTTCTCTCCCTCTCTCTCCTTGATTCTCATCACGTTTCAATCACTTTTTCTCTCTATTCTTTTTTCCTTTTGTCAAATTTTTCTTCAACTACATCAATTGAATTGCCCCTTTTTCATTAATTGGATCTGACGTGCTCGACGGTGGGGTTGCAGACGCAAGGCAAGCTGGCTTCAAGCTTGTGCCAATTTCACTTATGCTTGATTGCCGCCGAAGATTTTTCATCAGATAAAAAGCTTTGTCCGGATAACTATATTGTAACTAAATTGATAACACCAAATAAACTTCAGAGAGCCCGATTTGAAAAATAGCTATACCTGAGTCTTTGATAACACATCCACATAAAAGCCTTTGCAAGTTGCTGCACATTCAGAAAGCCTATGAAGGATTTCTCTAATTAGCTTTGCTTCTTTTTGTAGTTCAGTTCTCTCTCGATCGAACTAATTGATCCTTCAGTTGTCTCTTCAACTTCTGGACATCCTGCTTGTAGTTCTCGGTTGAGACCTGAAAAACTTTGATAAGTGAAAAAAACACATAGAACTTAAGCAATAAAATAAATAGAAAAACAAAGGTCAGGGAAACGGAAGAAAAATGGATGAAAATTAGACTGGCAGGAGCTTCGTCACTTGGTGGGGAGTCATTTGAAGGTAATCAAAGTCAGCTATGAAACCTTTGTTCATTTTCAACTATGTGTCTTCATCAACCACATTGCTATAAGCATATGGAATGGGGAGTGCTGAAGATATCCCCTTGAGAGAGAGTTCTGAGGGAAGGACAAGGAGGAAGGGACCAGCGGCGCGAAGAAGAATGGCGTGAAGGGAAAATATAGATGGGTTTTAAGTAGGGGTTCAAAGTTTCAAAATTCGACGATGTCGGTTAAAACCGACACCACCCTCCATTGACATCAAACCAACCAGTTTCGCATGCAAAACTAGCGGGAAAACTCCCGCCCAAATATTGGATACACTATCACTATCAGTTGGATGAGACTGACCTTAACCTGCCCACTGACAGGAAGTTTGAAAATATTTAAAACAAATGGTGTCGGATGAAAACGCCAAATAAAGTATTTCATGTGACAGTAAGTTAGTAACTTTATGTCGGTTGAAAGCGACACGGTTTTCTTTTTATACGACACCACCATTTAAAAAGATTAAAAGCTATGTCGGTTATAAGTGACATTAATAGTCTATGTCGGTTATAAGCGACATAGACAGTTTATGTCGCTTGTACTCGATAGTAATTCCGACATCATGTAAGAAGGGTGTCAGAAATGTCTTATCCGCTAGTATTTTATATAAAACCGACACCAACCACCGACACAGCCACTTTTGAAGTAGTTAAATACACAATTCGGATCATCTGGCAACATTAAAAAATAAGAAGAGTCAAGAACATTCAAATGAAAAGGTTGGTACCATTCATTATAATCGTTTGGTCTAAATGCGCCAATCAGTATTCATTGTCAATGGTCAAGTCTTCCAAGGAAACTTGTAAGTAATTTCATTCGAACTCCATAGTGTGCTTAATTGGTAAAATCTCCCATTTGGACTTGGCAGAAATTGTGGTGCAGTTTTGTGGCCCCTCCATTGTTCCAAAATGTTTTGAGTTGAATGCCAACATTGTATTATGGTAAACGAGTTTTTCACGTGTTGACCACATGCGCTTCCACACGTGGGTTGCCACACGTTTTTTTTTTTTTTTTGAGGGGGGGGGGTGGTCCTATTAGTTTTGGGTTGGATTCTAAGGCCATCTCCAACCGATGGCTGGCCAGATGACTCGTTTTAGCTCTCTGGCCCTCCAAGATCCTCTAAGATATTAATATTTTAATGAATAGTACAGGGCCATATTTGCCTCCGTCTCCAACCGAGGGCCAAAGGGCCAGAGGGCTCGTTTTAGCCTTGTCACAAAAAAACCGTCTCCAACCGAGACCAAAGGGTCATAGGGCCAAACATAATTTATTATTTAAAAACTACAACTTAAATGTTGTTTAAGTTTCATGTTGTTAAATGTTTTTTTTATGTTGTATAATTTTTATGTTGTTTCATATTGTTTAATGTTCTTTAATGTTACTTAATTTAATTTAATGTTGTAAATGGCTTAGGAAGTTATAGGAAAAAAATAGAATTTAAAATAAAATGAAACAAATTTTGTGAAATAGAAGTTATAGGAAAAAATGGAACTTAAAAAAAATATGAAACAAATTTTGTAAAATAAAAGTTATAGGAAAAAAAATAGAATTTTAAAAAAATATGAAAAATAGAAGTTAATAGGAAAAATTTTGTAAATAAAAAATAATAATAAAACTGTAAAAAAAAATAAAAATTCAAAGCATTCCTGTCGGTTATAACCAACAAGAATTCCGACACTTTAAAAAATTATGGTCAGCCTTGGGTTGGCTGGCTGGTTGGAAGTGGCCAGCCCTCTTCGATTCCGTGGGTCCTTTCCAGATTCCACAGCCCTCTAGCTTAGCCCTCGGTTGAAGACAGTTTTCGGGCTATTTTTAGCCCTCTAGACCATTCAGTTGGAGATTGCCTAATATTCTAATAATCATTCTAACCAAAAATATGATACAAGTGATTATTACTAACTTAATTGAAAAGCACATACAAATTTACAAGGGAGTTTTAACAAAATACTCCTGGTATTGTTCACTTTTAAATAAAAACCACATTTTTACCTTTACCTGTCACTATTCAATATACCTTTAAAAATGACTTTTCATTAAAAGAGAAGTTTTTTTGGACTTTTCGTTAGTTTTCCTAATTTACAATACTCATTTTCGTGCTACTTTTACAAATATGCATGACACTACTGATTAGTGTGACAAGTTAACTTGACAGTGTTGTTATTGGTTGATCTGTCTGAGTACTTGTGGAAGCAAATCGATTTGGTGGCATCATCAAGTTTTCAAGGCCTCCTTCTAGCATTCTAACAACTGCTTTCATGGAAGGGCGATTCGCCGGGTACCACTTGATGCACCAGAGTGCCATAATTAGGGCTGGGTTCGGTTTGAAACGGTTCGGTTTTTTGCCAAAACCGAAACCGAACCGAAATTTCGGTTCGGTTCGGTTCAATTTTTTTTCGGTTTTTTTCGGTTCGGTTTTTTTTCGGTTCGGTTTCAGTCCGGTTCGGTTTTTTTTTTTTAATAAAATGTAAACTTTCATTAAACTTACATACATATAAAAGCCCACAACTAAACACAAACAAAAAAATGGGCCAGAAACAACAACCCAACCCAAGGGTTGAGCCCGAAAAAGAAAGAAAAAAAAACGGAAAACCCTAGCTGCTAAGTTCCCTTGCCGCCGTCGAAGCAAGCTCCGGCGACCATGTACCAGAATCCAATCCAAACAAACACCAGAGGTGAAGACCATGAATCGCGATATCCAATCATGATTTCCTGCTTTTAACAACCCCTGAGCACAAACAAACATAATTTTCCTTCAGCTGATGAATTAACAATCACAATTCAAAGAGAAAAATAACCTTTTTCGTCATTGATTTATGAATTACTTGCATAATTCACATAGCAATATCATTTCTAAACAAAATAAAAAACTGAAGAACAAACAAGGAAAATTGATTAACATTTAGACCTAAAACTACTAGAACCGCTCAATTCCATTGGCGTAAAAGCACAACAACTGAAAATCTAGTTCTCGTCAATTTTCTTAGGCACCAAACTGAAAAAACTATAATAAAAATGGAAATATGAATAACCTAATAACGAAATCCATCAGATCTAAACAAGCATGCAGAGATCGAATCCAAAAACCAAATGCACAAATCCATCAGTATTTGGATTTCTTTTTTTCTTTGTTGGGGGTTAGAGAGAGAGAGAGAGAGGGAGGGAGAGTACAGTGGGTGTAACTATCCATCAGTAATCCAAATAACAATCGAAACAAATATCCAAATACACAAATCCAAAACCGAAACCGAAAACAAAAAAAAACCGAAAAATCATGAAATAATTCAACAAATTAACTGATGCAGATAAAAAAAAAAAAGCAAATGGGTTCGTCTAAATGCCATAATCGGACTCCAATATCACATGCCCAGTGCCCATACTCAAATTCATAGTCAAGTCCACAATAGATCTAGAAATTCCAAAACATATTCAGAGAAAAATACAAACTTTTCCACCTTAAATTACATAAATTTCAAATGGGTAACCATAAAATTAAAAACCCATAAACTGAAAAATAGATAAAACCCACAACCTTTGCAGCGATATCGCAGTGATCGTCGCAAGCTCTTACAATTCCTCTTTTCGTCGGGTCTCGAAAGGGGCGAGGGAAAATCATTGTTTGGAGAAAAAAAAACCACGAGGAAGACAAGAGAAGACTAGAGAGAGTGATTTGGAGGAAGAGAGGAAGGAGAGGGAGAGAGAGAGAGACTGAGGAAGCAGAAAGGAAGTCGCGGCGGGGAGAAAGAGACTTTGAGATCTGAAAATGAAATGGGAATGGGACAGAGACGGCTAGGGTTTTAAGTTTTTTATAAAGCATTCAATATAAGAAACCTATAAATAATATACTGGTACAACTATAACAATAGAAAGTCTACAGTCAAGTTGGCTGACAGCATCTAAACCCAACCTACAGGTCAGGGGTTCGAACCTTGTGATGCTAACATATTTTTTTTGTATTTATATATATATATTTTTTTTTCGGTTCGGTTCGGTCCGGTTCGGTTTCTGGACCTCAAAAACTGAAACCGAACCAGCCAGATTCGGTTCGGTTCGGTTTGGCAGTTTCGGTTCGGTTTTTTTTCGGTTCGGTTTTTTTCGGCCTCGGTTCGGTTTGGTTTTCGGTTTTCGGTTATTTGAACCCACCCCTAGCCATAATCGCTAGTTTCTTAGCAATCTGAGCATCTTCATCGGTATCTAGCTTCAAATCCAAAGCTTCTCCTTGAACAAGACGATTGTAAATCAATTCAGGAAAGTAGACCTCATTGTTGCCAGATGTAAGAGCAGGTTGTTTTCTGGCTCCAACAATTTCAAGCACTATCATCCCGAAACTATAGACATCTGATTTGTAGGACACGCTCCCAAAGTTCCCATTAAACACTTCTGGTGCAATGTACCCTACTGTGCCTCTAGCAGCCGTCATGGATATATATGATACTGTCTCCCTTGGAACAGAGTTTAGCCAGACCAAAATCTGAGACCTTAGGATTAAAGCCATGGTCTAACAGTATGTTATACTCGGCTTTATGTCAAAGTGGAGGATCCTCTGGGCACACTCTTGGTGAAGATACTTGATTCCCTTTGCTATACCAGTGACGATGTTGTGAATTTTCTCCCAATCTAGTAGGTTCTTGTTGGGTTCTGTTGTAACATCCCACATCGACCAACGAAGAGGGGGTGATGTGCTTTATATGTACATGCTCATCTCCATATAGCACGAGACCTTTTGAGAGCTCATTGACTTCGGAGTTTATCGGAACTCCGAAGTTAAGCGAGTTCGGACGAGAGCAATCTCAAAATGGGTGACCTACTGGGAAGTTGCGAGAAAACTTCTCTAGAGAACCGTTCGGCATGAGCTCATAAATGACAGCACGCTTGCCTCCTCCTGCAGAAAACCCAAGTAGACGAACCACGTTAACATGGTGAATCTTGCCAATTGTTCCCAGTTCATTAATAAAATCTTCCCCATTTCCTTTAGAATCATTGAGGACTTTTATGGCAACCGGAACTCCATTTGGAAGCTCTCCACTGTAAACACTTCTGAAACCTCCTTCGCCTAACTTCTTCTTGAATCCGTTTGTCATCCTCTTTATATCACCATGTGTGTATCTTGTTGGTACATGAGATTTGTGTTCTTTTAGGAACCTCTCAATCTCGATTTCATTCTCCTTTTCCTCTATCCCTTTTGATTTTTTACATAGTAGAGGATGGCTGCCGCTGTCAACGATAGGAGAAAAAAACAAGCTATGCTTACTCCTATGATAATAGATCCAGTTGATACACCTAAAGTTAAGTAGGAGAAAACAAATTTAGTTAAAAGTACGTAGTTGTTTTGTTTTTGTAATTTTTCAAGGAGCAACGCTTGGACTATTAGCACGGTCCAAGTTCAGTCCAGCATGGCGTACCAAACCAGTTACCTGCCCTTAAAAGAATGGATAAGGGAAACTACGTACATGTATCGCATAACACTGCATTTGATTTGTGTAGGTACTGATATAGCAGTCTTTATCCGGAGTAGTACATTTTTTAAATGCTGGCATAGGAATAGACATAGACAATGAGCTAAATCGCAGATAATATGAATTTCTCCAATGCAGGAATAAAACCTTGCCCGGTTCACAGTGGTGCATAGAACCATCCACATTTCGTATTGGAAGATCAAGCTGTCTTAGAAGAGTGCAAGTAGACACCGGCTGGTTATCTACTGTAGTAGTCTGCAGAGTAGCTAGAACTTGATGATTCCCCGGGACGCTGAGACATTTAATCGGCATGAAGTACACACTGGAGCTCTCTGTGCTAAAACTTTGTGCTGTGCTACAATTTAAAAGTGTTACGTTCAATAAATCTGGATAATATTCGAGATCAAAACCGCAACTGTTGTAAAACACGAAATTGCGTACTGGTTGAAAGAGTGAGTATATGGGGATGGTAAAATTAAGAAGGCGTTTCGGGAGGCAAGCATCCGAATCGTAGACCTGAAACTGAATCCTTTGGTAATCAATAGATTGTATAGGAAAGGGTGCCGAAGACGGCGAGAGCTTGATCATGGTCATATTTTGTGAGCAGAAAAATGGTGTTTACAGAAGGGAAACCGGATAACTGGACCATCAGGCCAACACCTTGTAACCGGGCAGTCATGAGGATCAGCTGCTCTGCTGGGTACAATCATGGCCATTGGGAAGACAATTATAAGCAAGAAAAATAGTGGCAGAAGCAGAGTATCATCTCCAACTCTCCGATCTTTATTCAGGTGCAATATATTTCGGAGACTTCAGCCATGTCTGCTCGGATTACTGTTTTCCCTTATCACTTGACTTGGTGGGACGCATCACCATCATCCGGGCCGGCCCCTGGGGGTAGTCCATGTAAGCGTCCATCCGAGCCCCCACTTCAAAGGGTCCCAAAAGTTTTATAATCTTGTAAATCAAATATAATAAATAAAGTTTTATATATCTTGTAAATCAAATATAATAAATAAAAAGTAAGAAAGTGTTGTAGCCTATTTTATCTGACAATGGAAAGGGGCCGGCGGCAGAGGGAGAGAGATTGAGAGAGATGTGTTTGTAGAATTGTAGGGGAATGTGTGTGTTATCCCTCCTACGTACTGCCTTTATTTATAGTAGTAAGGGAGAGAAGAAATTTCTTCATACCCAAGGAATACAAGTTGTAATAGGAAATGATAACTAGAATCAAATCTAATCTAGGGTTTACACAATCACATATAAACTAGGAAAGTTTACAACAGAGATATTATAATTCATTTATTGGTGCAGTGGAAATGTTTGACTTTTTTTTTAGCATTGAGTTTGAAACATGGAGTTGCTTTTTTAGTCACTAGTCTTTTCTTGTTTTTCAAATTTACCCCCCAATCCATATGTTCAAATGCATATAAAGTTACAAAAATCAACTCACTTTGCAATCTTTTTTTCTTTCAACTTCACAATCTCTTCATTTCTCTTCATTTCTATTGAATGTTTAAATCATCTATCACATGGTCTTGAAGATAATACTTAAAGGTAATAAACACTTTGAATTTATATTTTGTTTTCAATAATTTATTATTAAATGAATTATTTTAATATTCGATTCGTCATTATGAAGTTCATTTTAGAAAAAACACAAGAGAAACAATTGGCGTTGAATTTATTATACTCGTCAATCAAGTTTTATTGTTCTTTAATCTCATGATCATCAAGTTTTATTGTTCTTTACTCTCAATTTTAGACTCTTGACTACCTCTGCATCTAAAAACGTGAGGCGTGTAATACTTAAGTAATGTTTGTATGTCTATATTTCTTTTTATATTATTTTTTAATGATATTTTTTTATTTTTAATGATATTTGATGTAACAATAAATTTTTTATGTATTTAGTGAAACCTTTCTCAAGGCCGGCCTGTGACTTTTTTGGCTCTAATTGTCATCATCCTGGTGTTACTTTCTTGGCAAGTGGATTGGTGGAAGCATCTTAGTTTCTTCGTTACCCGATGAGCATGCATTTGTAATGATTTTGATGTAAAAGTAGGATTTTTAATGCATTTGGTGAATCCTTTCTCAAGGCCGGCCTGTGACTTTTTTGGCTCTAATTGTCATCATCCTGGTGTTACTTTCTTGGCAATTGGATTGGTGTCAGCATCTTAGTTTCTTCGTAACCCGATGAGCTTGCATTTTTAATGATTTTGATGTTAAAGTAGAATTTTTAATGCATTTGTTGAATCCTTTCTCAAGGCCGGCCTGACCATCATCAATGACTTTTTTGGCTCTAATTGTCATCATCCTGAGTTTCTTCGTAACCCGATGAGAGATCAAATCTTCTGCATCTAAATTTGAGACCAAATCTTTTGCATCCAAAATGGGTGTGGTCCCTCTGTAACTCCGATGAATGTATGACATCTATTAAATATCTTAACTTTTCTTAATTTTGTTGTCATGAATTTAATAGGTGTCAGACATTCATTAGGGCCACAGAGAGGCCACATCCATTTTGGGTGCATAAGATTTGGTCTCCCCAAATTTGATGTGACTTCTTTGTGGCCCCAATAAATGATTAACACGTATTTATTATCTTAACTTTTCTAAATTTTGTTGTTATGAATTTAATATGTGTCAATCCCTTATTAGGGCCACATAGAGACCACACTAAATTTGGGTGCTGATGATTTGATCTCCCGATGAGCATGCTGCATGCATTTTTAATGATTTTGATGTAAAAATATAATTTTTAATGTATTTAGTGAATCCTTTCTCAAGGCCAGCCTAACCATCATCAATAACTTTTGGCTCTAATTGTCATCATCCTGGTGTTACTTTCTTTGCAGAAAGAATCCACCCGTTGTAATGGTTAACTTTCTTTCATCATCTTTCTCCTTACTTTCTTTCGCAAAATTGCTCGTTAAAAGTATCTGGTTACCATGTGCTATAGCTTTGGCTTTATGCTTTGAAATTTGGGATGCCGAGTCACAAAAACACTGTGCGCCGGTTTCTTGCGGGGATCTCCACAACATTAGATACCCTTTTCGGTTGAATGGTTCTTCGTCTGATCAGAATTGTCTCAACCGTCTCAACCATCCAGCGGTATTATCATGCCAACATAACAACACCATTCTAAATCTCTACAATGGCACATATTATGTGAGGAAAATCAACTATGATGATCATACAATTCATGTTGTGGATCCTGGTCTGCTAAGCGATACTTGCCCCCCTTGGCCACTCCGCACTATAACAACGCGTAACTTCAGCGCAATAGATCGATACCAGGCATATGGTTATGGGGCCAACGATTACTTGGTTTTCGTTGATTGCCAGTTCCCAGTTGAGTTCCTGGACTACGTAAAATACAATTGCAATACCTCTTCTGCGACTTCATATTCTTATATTGTAAATGGAGCTCTTCTGGATAGAGCGGCCGGGAATTTATCTTGTGATAGGGCCACAACCATAACCATTCTTGCCTTGTTAGAAGAAATCGGGAACTTCACTTCATCTTCTTTCATCCACCATGAGTTGCAAAGGGGATTTAAGCTTTCATGGGAGGGATTTCTCCTCTGCGGCAGCCGAGACCAATCCATCAGCATCCACTGTGAGTATGTTGTTTACCAATTTAATTAACGCGCTAATTCGGTGTGTTTTCACAAATCATGGCAAGGCAAATGATACGTAGTCTCGGTGGAGCTTTCAGAGAAATGTCATTCATTTATACATTAGGAATATTAATCAGTTTTATGCATGTGTGATGTGTTTAGTAAACTTTACGATTTTAGAATGCCAAATTTTTCGTGACATCTCTTATTGACACTGATGTATCTTTGCAGGTATCCTTGAACCTATGAAACTTGGTAAGTTGAATCAAATAGTATTTAGATTACTTGTAATTCACATTAGTGTGATATTGAGCTTATGCTGTAACGCTATATGTCACATCACTAGAATTTCCGAGTTAATCCATCCCACTTCTTGATCCTAAATCATTTATCCATTGATTCTGTTTCACACAGGTTTCAGAGCAGGTGCCAAGATCGCTGGTAATTCATTTTAAAGAATATGTGTGTGCACACTTGCGAGCGCATAATTTCTTCAAACAAAGGTAAAATTCTTATGGCAGGATGAACACCTACTAACAGCCTATTCTTATGGCAGGATTGGTTCTGATAGGACAATTTGTATATGGCTGTATTGTTGGGCTTCGGCACCCACGAACTGTATACGAGAAAGTTCCTAAATGACGATGATGATGCAGTTGAAGAATTCTTGGATGCGTAAAAGAATCTTATGCTGAGGAGGTATTCCTATTCAGATATTAAAAAGAAACACGTAATCTCAAAGATATACTCGGTCAGGAAGGCTTTGGTTTTGTTTTCAAAGGGTTGCTGCCAGATGGCTCCAGATTTGCTGTCCCCAAAAGTGTGTTTAGTTTGTGTCTTCTTACTAATATGTTGACACATGTCCTTTAACTTAACCTAAAACTAACTTTGTTAACTTTATTTATTTAACATTTAAATAAATAAAATCCCAAATAATAAAAAAAAAAAATTGTTGGGTTAACGTGGTGAGCAAATCCAAATAGGATTCTTCACCTTCTTTTACGTGGTTGTTCAGTGCACAAATGCGTGTGGCTTCTTGCAGGCAGGCGGAGGAACCCTCGCCATCTTCGACCCACGCGACTCTTGTTCTTCGTCCTTCTCCTGCACCTCAAAATCCAAGGTGCACGAGGCTGCTGGAATTGTGAAAATTGCTTGGGTTCCACCGGAATTCGGCGCTGCAGTGGCATGTGTCTGTGCAGATGGAACTTTATCATTGTGGGAGGAAGTTGCTGAAGATGCACAACCTCTTCAATGGAAGCTGTGCATAAGCTTTAATAGCGGTCCGGCTCAACTGCTGGATACCCAATTTGGAGTCTTACCTGCAGGTTTAAAAATGGTTACTGCATATTCAGATGCCCATTCAAGTTCTATGAGTTACTGAATCCCTTGGGACGCAGAAGTTTGTTTATTAATCTCACTTTCCAGTTCCAGCACTGGCATATTACATACACTGGAGCTCCGATCTACACCCATGACCTTGTCTTCATTAATCCTTAACTCCTAGAATCATTTTTGTCTTCATTAATTCTTGTTCAACTCAACACCCACGGAAAGAAAATGAAGAATTCTATTTCAAAGTGAACAACCACGTAAAAGAAGGTGAAGAATCCTATTTGGGTTTGCTCACCTCGTTAACCCAACAATTTTTTTTTTTTATTATTTGGGATTTTATTTATTTAAATGTTAAATAAATAAAGTTAACATAGTGAGTTTTAGGTTAAGTTAAAAGACATGTGTCAACATATTAGTAAGGAGACTAAAACGAGACACACTTTTGGGGACAGCAAATCTGGAGCCCTGCCAGATGGTCATCTTGTTGCTGTAAATGTTGGCTGATTAAGGTCTAAACTGTAATTTCCTTTATTTTGTAAATCTGTTAGACTTCAAATAATGAGCTGTTAGTGATCAAGGGCTGAGATTAGATCAAATTGTATTAGGCTCAAATGTGAGGGTCTTGTAATGAATGGTTGGATGAGCTCATAGGCTCTCCTAGATTCTGTCCCTCTCTAACGGTCATGTAATAGTGGGTGTGATGAAATGAGCATACTAGCTCACTGTGATTTGATCACTCTCTCTCTCTCTCTCTCTCTCTCTCTCTTCATTTTCTTCTCTCTAAATCTCTTCCTCTCCGTGTCAAATTGCTGCAAATATACTACCAAGTTTTACAGATTCTAACAGTAAAGACGTTGAGTGGTTCCAAAGGCAAAGTGCAATATTTCATCAGTGAAGTTGCCACAATTGGAAGAATTCATCATGTCAATGTGGTGCAACTAATTGGATTTTGTTCGGAGGGATCGAAAAGAGCTCTTGTTTATGACTTCATGCCTAATGGATCTCTTGACAAATATATCTTTTCTGAGAAACAAAAGAATGTAATTCTTAGCTGGGATGTAATGCATGAGATAGCTCTCGGTGTGGCTCGTGCAATCGAATATCTACACCAGGGATGTGATATGCAAATTTTGCACTTTGACATCAAACCTCACAACATTCTTCTCGATGAAAACTTTGCTGCTAAAATTTCCGAATTTGGCCTTGCAAGATTTTACCCTAGAGATAACAACACCGTTTCTCTTACTGCTGTGAGAGGCACATTTGGATATATGGCTCCAGAACTGTTCTCAGATATATCGGAGGAGTTTCAAAGAAAGCTGATGTGTATAGCTTCGGAATGTTGCTATTGGAAATGGCAGGACGGAGGAAGAACTTTAATGAACACGCACAAAACTCAAGCCAGAAATACTTCCCTTCATGGATTTACGAGCAACTAGAGAAAGGATTGAGCATTGAAATTGAGAATGCCTGCGAGTCTGATAAGAAAGTAACCAAGAGGATGCTTATGGTTGCATTGTGGTGCATTCAACTGAAGCCAGCGGATCGCCCTTGTATGAGCAAAGTTGTTGAGATGCTTGAAGGTGAAGTCGAAGCCTTGCAGATGCCGCCGTAACCTTTTTTCTGTCCCCAGCAAATGCCAATGGAGGATCCATCTGATGAGACGGATGTCGACGAGGAATCTTCCCTGTTACATGATAGTGCTACCGGAACCGCGGCCTCTATTCCAGAAATAATCATCCTTGGAAGAAGAAGAAATTACTCATAAACGGATACTGATCCGTGCCAATTGTATCATCATCGTATGTTTCTGCCACAAAAATTTGGTAGTTTTGGAAGCTTTCTTTTTTCCAACGGCCCTTAGTAGAGTGAAGAAAAAAAACATGAAAGTTGAAACCGATGCATTTGGTACTAAGTGCTTCCAAATACTTTTTAACTTTCAATCATTTATTTGATGAATTATTGTTTCTCTATGTCGTTTGGTCTAATTGCACCTATCAATCATCATTGTCAGTGAATGGTCAAAGAAATAGCCCCTCACGTGCGAAATTATAGAAGATCCCCTTTAAGATCAAACAATTCCGTTAAATTGAGTATAGTTGTATGTGTGATAGCATCTACTATACCAGGAATATCAATGATATGTGTTGTTCATGTGTGCCGCTGCAAATGAGAATTTTTTTTTATGGGGGGAGGGGGGAGAGGGGATTGTTGGGAGCGTAAATCTCAAATTGGGAGATTAATGGGGTGCATCAATTGGTATTTTGAAGGATTATAAATAAAAATCCAGCCTAATAATCTATGAAACCCTAGGAATATATTCAATCAGGATTTCTAACCAAAAACATTGTTAAAATGATTATTTACTAACTTTATTGAAAAGCACTTGCATCACAAATTTTAGTGGATTATATGGATACCTAAATGGCATGTAAGACATTTCTCTTGATTTAATACAACTTTTACAAATGTGCATTTGAACATTACTGAAATATTAACTTGACTCTCTGTTTCTTGGTTCATCTGTCTGAGTACTTGTGGAAGCAAATGGATTTCGTGGTATGCTCAAGCTTTCAAGGCCTCCTTCTAGCATTCGAACAACTGCTTTCATGGAAGGACGATTCTCCGGGTACCATTGGATGCACCATAGTGCCACAGTCACCAGTTTCTTAGCAATCTGAGTGTCCTCATCGGTATTTATATTATAATTCATTTATTGGTGCAGTGGAAATGTTTGACCTTTTTTTTTTTTTTTTTTTAGAGTGTTGAGTTTGAAACATGGAGCTGCTTTTTTAGTAACTAGTCTTTTTTTAGAGTGTTGAGTTTGAAACATGGAGCTGCTTTTTTAGTAACTAGTCTTTTCTTGTTTTTCAAATTTAGCCTTCAATCCATATGTTCAAATGCATATAAAGTTACAAAAATCAAGTCCCCTTGCAATCTTTTTTTCTTTCAACTTCACAATCTCTTCATTTCTATTGAATGTTTAAATCATCTATCACATAGTCTTGAAGATAGTACTTAAAGGTAATAAAAACTTTGAATTTATATTTTGCTTTTCAATAATTTATTATTCAATGGATTATTTTAATATTTGATTCGTCAGTATGAAGTTCATTTTAGAAAAAAAAAACAAGAGAAACAATTGGCGTTGAATTTATTATACTCGTCAATCAAGTTTTGTTGTTCTTTACTCTCTTGATCATCAAGTTTTATTGTTCTTCACTCTCAATTTTACACTCTTGACTACAAATATTTAGTACATCTGCGTCCAAAAACGTGTGATACTAAAGTAATGTTTGTATATCTATAATTTTTTTATATTAATTTTTAATGATATTTTTTAATTTTTAATAATATTTGATGTAGCAATAATTTTTTTATGTATTTAGTGAATCCTTTCTCAAGGCCGGCCTGTGACTTTTTTGGCTCTAATTTTCGTCATCGTGGTGTTACTTTCTTGGCAAGTGGATTGGTGGAAGCATCTTAGTTTCTTCGTAACCCGATGAGAATGCATTTTTAATGATTTTGATGTAAAAGTAGAATTTTTAATGCATTTGGTGAATCCTTTCTCAAGGCCGGCCTGTGACCTTTGGCTCCAATTGTCATCATCCTGGTGTTACCTTCCTGGCAAGTGGATTGGTGGAAGCATCTTAGTTTCTTCTTAACCCGATGAGCATGCATTTTTAATGATTTTGATGTAAAAGTAGGATTTTTAATGCATTTGGTGAATCCCTTCTCAAGGCAGGCCGGACCATCATCAATGACTTTTTTGGCACTAATTGTCATCAGCCTGAGTTTCTTCGTAACCCGATGAGCATGCTGCATGCATTTTTAATGATTTTGATGTAAAAATATAATTTTTAATGTATTTAGTGAATCCTTACTGAAGGCCGGCCTAACCATCATCAATGACTTTTGGCTCCAATTGTCATCATCCTGGTGTTACTTTCTTTGCAGAAAGAATCCACCCGTCGTAATGGTTAACTTTCTTTCATCATCTTTCTCCTTAATTTTCCTATGATCGCAAGCGCTTGCTTCGCAACAATGATCGTTAAAATTAGTATCTGGTTAACATATGCTGTAGCTGTTGCTATATGCTTTGTAATTAAGGGACCAAAACACTGTCCGCCGGTTTCTTGCGGGGATCTCCACAACATTAGATACCCTTTTCGGTTGAATGGTTCTTCGTCTGATCAGAATTGTCTCAACCATCCAGCGGTATTATCATGCCAACATAACAACACCATTCTAAATCTCTACAATGGCACATATTATGTGAGGAAAATCAACTATGATGATCATACAATTCATGTTGTGGATCCTGGTCTGCTAAGCGATACTTGCCCCCCTTGGCCACTCCGCACTTTAACAACGCGTAACTTCAGCGCAATAGATCGATAGCAGGCATATGGTTATGGGGCCAACGATTACTTGGTTTTCGTTGATTGCCAGTTCCCAGTTGAGTCCCTGGACTACGTAAAATACAATTGCAATACCTCTTCTGCGACTTCATATTCTTATATTGTAAATGGAGCTCTTCTGAATAGAGCGGCTGGGAATTTATCTTGTGATAGGGCCACAACCATAACCATTCTTGCCTTGTTAGAAGAAATCGGGAACTTCACTTCATCTTCTTTCATCCACCATGAGTTGCAAAGGGGATTTAAGCTTTCATGGGAGGGATTTCTCCTCTGCGGCAGCCGAGACCAATCCATCAGCATCCACTGTGAGTATGTTGTTTACCAATTTAATTAACGCGCTAATTCGGTGTGTTTTCACAAATCATGGCAAGGCAAATGATATGTAGTCTCGGTGGAGCTTTCAGAGAAATGTCATTCATTTATACATTAGGAATATTAATCAGTTTTATGCATGTGTGATGTGTTTAGTAAACTAATTGGATTTTGTTCGGAGGGATCGAAAAGAGCTCTTGTTTATGACTTCACGCCTAATAGATCTCTTGACAAATATGTGTAGTTCATATATGTCGTTGCACGTGAGAGAAAAAAGAGGGTGATGTATTATGGGGCGAGGAGGGGGGTTGTTGGGAGTGTAAATCTTAAATCGGGATATTAAAGGGGTGTATCAATTAGTATTTTGAAGGATTTTAAAGAGTTAAATAAAAATCATTTATTTGATGAATTTCTGTTAAAAATTGACCTAAAAAAATACACAATTCGGATAATTCGGTAACATAAAAAAATGAAAAGAAGAGTCGAGATCATTCAAATGAAAAGACACCATTCATTATAATCGTTGGGTCAAAACGCGCCAATCAGTATTCATTGTCAATGGTCAAGTCTTCCAAGGAAACTTGTAAGTAATTTCATTCGAACTTCATAGGGTGATTAATTGGTCTCCCATTTGGACATGGCAGAAATTGTGGTGCAGTTTCTGGATTGACCTGCCAAAAACCCAGGACCGTTAGGCGTGTTGTCTCTCACTATGAGAAACCACATGGGTTCAGCACAATTAATTTAAATGATTGTGGCCCCTCCATTGTTCCAAAATTGGTTTTGAGTTGAATGCCTACATTGTATCATGGTAAACGAGCAATTCACGTGTTGGCCACATGCGCTTTTACGTTCTTCGATATGTATTGTTCATGTGTTGCTACACGTTTGTTGGAGAAGGGAGGGGGGCTCATAAATCTCTAATTGAGATATTAAAACTTCGCGTAACATTTGAACTGATTTGGGTTTTCCATCTATTGTCAATTAGTTTTTTATTGGATTC